GAGTGAAAGAGATCTAGAGAGAATTAACGGAAGAGACTGCGACTTAGATAAAGGAAGAAAATTATTTTTTTAAAGCAAGTCTTATAAAGAACAAAGCAAGAGGTCGACCATTCTAGACAAACAGGCAGGTACCCACCAGTCCTGTACGGCGTTGAAAGACTCCTCGTTAGTGATGTCGTACATTAACAAAAACCCCATGGCCCCTCTGTAGTAGGCCGTGGTGATGGTGCGGTACCGCTCCTGGCCAGCCGTGTCCTGGAGAAAGAAGAAGAAAAAAAATCCATATACATGAAATCTTCGTGGATGTAAAACGTACAGTATAGATGTTTTATGCTCTCATAAACACCGTCTAGATCATTTATGAGGCAGGTTGCTTGTTTGTTTGTTTGTTGTTGTTGTTGTTTTGTTTGTTTGTTGTTGTTGTTTTTTTTGTTGTTTTTTTTGTTGTGTTTGGGGTTTTTTTCGTTTTTGTTTATTTGTAGTAACATTTCTTAGGTTTAGTAGAGGTTGTACGGTGCTCGCAACTGCATACGGTCATATGAGCGCCAGAAGATTAGAGGTGTTACAAGAGAGTAACAAACATAAAAAATGAAGAAGGGGAGATAATGACGATAGAAGTTTCATAGGAAAGAAGAAGCAAACCACACCAGAGTACCCGCCAACCACCCACAGTTGTAACATTTTACGGCACTTGCAACATGAAAAGGTAACGTAAGTGTCGAGGATTCAAGGAGTTACAGGAGACTAACACAAAGAAAGGGGAGAAAGGACATGTTTGACAGGTATGACGGAGCAAACCCTGTCTGTCAGGGGCAGCCCGAGCTAAGGGGGACATCCGGGAAACAGGTGGAGACACTCGATAAAATTCTTCCCGACACAGGAATCGAACGTCTGTCTTCTGCGTGCGACAGCCAAGCACCTGACCGCTATACAACGGACGCCGGTCTTACTGGAGACGCAAATGGGTTTGTCCTTTTTTTTTTTTTAGTAAAGGTTTAACGGCGCTCGCAACTGCATAAGGTCATATGAGCGCCAAGGGGTGGATGTCAACAGAGAAGTCTTTACAGGGAATCGGGCTTACTCTGCTCACCTCTCTAGCTTCAAGAGCACAAAAGTCTGTTTCGACTTTCAAGGCACCCCGGAAATAGCGGATCATAAGAGTGTGAAAAAACACACAAATGAAGTAGAGGAAAATGACAATACTAAGGATTAGGAAAGAAAAGGTAGCAGTTCCCAGTTGCAGTTCAGGCACAGTTATGAGTATGGCAAAGTTGAATCAGCCCATTTACAATTCTACAGTGCACTAGGTACAGGTTTGTCCGTTTGTTTGAATAAATAGAAACATACCGATACAATAACGGACACTCAACGGTGGGGAAATGTAAGGCGTAAAGACAGAAACAATTAATAAACGTAGAGAAAAGAAAGAAGACCTACTAGTGGCGTCCTCAAATCATTTACGAAGTAAACTGGGAATTCAATTTAACGTGTAATGAGAGAAAAGAAGGGGGTTTATACCAATACAATACCAAAAAACATTTCCCCTTAAACATACGTCACGTAAACACATACTGCCGCGAGCCTGAAGGCATGCACGTATGCATTCACACACACAAACATTTATGAGGAAACACACACTCACACACACACACACACACACACACACACACACACACACTCTCTCTCTCTCTCTCTCTCTTTCTCTCTCTCTCTTTCTTTCTTTCTTTCCCAATCTACTCTCTTTCTTTTTATCTCTCTATATCTCGCCTCGCTATCTCTTTATCTCTCCTTCTTTCTCTCTCTCGTTCTCTCTCGCTCTCTCTTTCTCTCTCTGACTCTCATTTTCTCTCTGTCTCTCTCTGTCTCTCTGTCTCTCTGTCTCTGTCTCTCTCTCTCTCTCTCTCTCTCTCTCTCTCTCT